CTATATCCTTATCTGCGTCATGTGGCTCCCAAAGATACATACCTTGCTTTTGACATGGTCTCCTTGAAGCTCCATTTCAGCCAGGTCTGGGTGGGGATGGTCACATTAAATGATGAACAAAATGTTCAGTTTCTCTCAGAGATAAGATAAGTGACTCTTTTCGCTAATGGGTTACAAGATGTAATCCATTCCTGGCACTGGAAATTTTATTTGGCAGCATAACACATAGTTGTGGCATTATCTCCCCCATTATATAGTGACTCCATTTAAATTCCCTTCACAAATGCACATACTTTAGGAAACCTCTATGTAGTAGGTTTCCACATGGATTTTCATAAGGCCTTAAGTGTTGGTTACCGCTCCCCATATTCCCTCCTTTAACCTCCTCTCCCAATCGCTTCTCAGTTTAATCCTCCTAGTGTCCCATTTATCTCTCCATAACACTATATTCTACTTTCTTGGGAGATACCTTCCTTCCCTGGCCTCTTACTATCTAACCTCTGTGATTATATGAACATTAATAGCAAAAGCTTAGAAGCTGATATCCACATATAAGAGAAAACGAGATATTAGTCTTTGAAAGGCTAAGTTATTTCACTTAAAATGATGTTTCTAGTTCCAAACTTCAGATTCTATAGTTTTTTTCTCTAACAGCTAAATAATATTCCACTGTGCAAATGTACCACATTTTCATTATCCTTTCATCAGTCAATGGGTATCTAGGCTGTTTCCAATTTCTGGATATTATGAATAGAGCACCAGTGAACACAGAGGAGCAAGTATCTCTGTAGTAAAATGAGAGCCCTTGTGGTGTATGCCAAAGATCTGGCATGCAAGATGCTGGATCTTGAGGTAGATCAATTCTCAAATTCATGAGGAACCTCCATAGTGGGCCTTCCAGCTTGCACTCCCACAAGCAATGAATACATGTTCCCCTCTCCTCACATACTCAACAGTGTTTGCCAAGGAATACATGTTCCCCTCTCCTCACATACTCACCAGTGTTTGCCAATGAATACATGTTCCCCTTTCCTCACACACTCACCAGCATCTTCTAATGAATACATGTTCCCCTTTCCCCACAACTTCACCAGTGTCTACTGTGATTTCTTTAATTGATTTTGGCCATTCTGAACAGTGTTACACCAATGGACATCCCAAACTGGATAGGGGAGAGCCTACAAGGCCTCAAAGAACTACAGGCAACTGAGTAAAGCTGGGAGTGAGAGAGGTGGTCTTCCCCAGGGAAATCTCAAAGTAGTTTTCACTTGCATATCCTTAATGGCTAAGGATGTTGAACATTTAAGTGTTTCTCAGCCATATTTGTTTCATCTTTTGAGAACTGTTTAGTTTGGTACTCCATTTTTTAATAAGGTTATTAGTTTTCTTGATAATGAGGGGTTTTTTGTTCTTTATATATTCTACATACTAATCCTCTATCAGATAGATAATTGATAAATGCCACACCAACTCCAGTGTCATCCGTGTGACATGAACAATTATGTCCAATAATAGCAGATGGGAGATAGGTGTCCCACAGGACTAAGCTCCCTGGAGGTCCCTGCCAGAGTGCCAGAGTTATGCTTCCTTCTCAAGAAGATGTACTTCACAGATCATGAGCTCCCTGGCTATGGGTTCTGTATAACTGCTTTCCTGACAATGTTCTAATTAATCTATGAAGCACAGCCAAAATTAATGAATGCTTAGGTTGTGAACTATGGAGGAAAGGGGAAGCTGGACATGGATCTTAATCAGATATAGCAGAATGAGCTATTTCTTAAAGACCCCAAGCCGCTAGATAAAGAAAGTATAAAGGTTCAGGCAATTCTAGGGAATGAACACTCACCCATTAGGAATCCTTTAAGAATACCAACTAAAGTGATTTATGGTAGAAAACGTTATCTCATAGGAGGCAGATGGTGGGCCCCTCTGTTGAGGAAGTTCAGCATGGGAAACTTAAGGACTACAACAGAATCCCTTCCCCTTACAAGCGTAAAAGTACAAGAGTCCATATTCCAGCAGGTTAAAAGGTTTTATATTAAAAGAGATATGTGGTGAAAGAACTAAGAAAAGACTTAGAGAGGGTCTGCAACATCCAAATTGGCTAAATGGGTCATGGGAACCAGAAAAGTAAAAATGTATAATAAACTAGAAAGCTGCTGAGATAAGAAAAGGGACACAGCTGCAACCACAAGAAGTCTACACAAGTCTAGGGACTGTACTAAGTTTAGAAACCACAGACTGCTCTTTGGGTCATAAAGTTCTTGTGGGTGAAGGGATATGTCTAGCGCTGATTAATCGTGTGCTTGCTGTTTTTCAAAGATGATGTAATTGAATTATTGCCAAGCTCTTGTTGTTCCTTGTATGACTCAACAGTTTTCTTTTCTGTATATAAACTACTGATTTGCAGAAGTAAAATTGCAGCAGATTCAAACCACTTCTGAGTGTGTTGTCTATCTGTCATTCGACGAATCCTTGCTTTCCTGACTACCCAAGCCCTGGTTCTCCTACGGTTGTGGTACCCCCGATGGGCCAGTCCATGGCAGGTAAAGATATTTTCCCATCCTATAGGCTGTTGCTTTGTTCAAATTGATGGTATCCTTTGTTATGCAGAAGCTTCTTTGTAGCTAGAGTTTTCCTGCCTGGCCCACAGTCAGGACAAATCTCTCTCACCTGCCAGTCCCACAGCCGCTCAGACACAACCAAGTAAACACAGAGACTTATATTGGTTACAAACTGTATGGCTGTGGCAGACTTCTTGCTAACTGTTCTTACAGCTTAAATTAATCCATTTCCATTAATCTATACATTGCCACATGGCTCGTGGCTTACCGGCATCTTCACATGCTGTTTGTCATCGTGGCGGCTGGCAGTGTCTCTCTGACTCAGCCTTCCACTTCCCAGCTTTATTCTCCTCCTTGTCCTGCTTATACTTCCTGCCTAGCCAATGGCCAATCAGTGTTTTATTTATTGACCAATCAGAGCAACACATTTGCCATACAGAACATCCCACAGCACTTCTTAGCTTCATGGATTCCATATATTAATTGTTGGTATTAATGTGTGTACTATTGGTGTTCTGTTCAGAAAATTCTTTCCTGTGCCAATGACTTCAAGCCTGTTCATCACTTTCTCTTCTGTCACATTCAGGGCATCTAGTCTTATGTTGAAGCCCTTGATTCATTTGGAATTGAGTTTTGTGCAGGGTAATAGTATGGATCAATTTGCATTCTTCTACATTTAGCCATCCAGTTTAACTAGCACCATTTATTGAAGATGTTTTCTTTTTCCCATGTGCATTTCTGGTTTCTTTATCAAAAATGAGGTGTCTGTGGATGTGTGGGTTTATGTCTGGTTCTTCAGTTTGATTCCACTGATTAACATGTATGCCTTGCTGGGCGTTGGTGGCGCACGCCTTTAATCCCAGCACTTGGGAGGCAGAGCCAGGAGGATCTCTGTGAGTTCAAGGCCAGCCTGGTCTACAGAGTGAGTTCCAGGAGAGGCGCAAAGCTACACAGAGAAACCCTGTCTCGAAAAACAAACAAACAAAAAAAAAAAACATGTATGCCTTTATTCCACCTCCATACTATTTTTATTACTGTAGCTCTGTAATATAACCTGAAATCTGGGGTGATAACTCCAGCAGTTATTTTATTTTTCAGAACCGTTGTTAGCTATCCTGGGATTTGTGTTTCCATATGAAGTTGAATTTTTTTTTAATTTCTGTGAAGTTCTGTGCCAATTTTTTAATAAGGTTATTTGTTTTCTTGATATTAAGAGTTGGAATTTTGATTAGGATTGTGTTGTGTCTGTAGAATTTGGTAGAATGGCCATTTTCACAATATTAATCCTGCTTATCCATGAGAATGTGATCCCAAGATACTTTCTGATGAAGCCGTTGTGAAAAACATTGTTTCTCCCTGCTTTCTTTCTCAGCCTGTTTGTTGTTTGTTTATAAGAAGGCTATTGATTTTTATGTAATTTTGAATCCTGCTACTTGTTGAACGTGTTTGTCAGCTGTAGAAGTTTCCTGTTGAAGTTTTTAAGGCCCTTTATGTATAAAATCATACCATCTGTAAATAGTGACATTTTGAATTTTCCTTTTCCTCTTGTGTCACCTTGATGTCCTTCCGTTGTCTCATCTGCTACAGCTAAGACTTAAGCACTATGTTGAACAGGTAGGAGGGAATAGACAATCTTGTCTTGTTCATGATTTTAGTGAAAATGTTTAGAGTTTCTTTCAGTTAGGATGATGACAGTTGTGGGCTTGTGGTAAATCACCTTTATTAAGTCCCTTATATCCCTAGTCTCCCCAGGACTTTTATCATGAGGGGGTGTTAGATTTTGTCAAAGGCCTTTTCTGCATCTAATGAAATGACTGTGTGGTTTTTGTCTTTCAGTCTGTTTATGTGGTAGATTAAGTTTGCTGAACCATCCCTACATCTCTGGAATGCATCAAGCCACCTTGAATATGGTGGATAATGTTTTTGATGTGTTATTGGATTTGGTTTGCAAATATTCCATTGAAAGTTTTTTATCTATGTTCGTAGGAGATAATGATCTATTCTTTTCTTCTGGTTGGGTCTTTTGTGGATTTGGTATCAGAGTAATAGTGACTTCATAAAAAAGTTAAGAAATGTTACTCTGTTTCTACTTTGTGAGGTAATTTGAAGATTAATGGTGTTCTTTCAAGGTGTGATGTAATTCTGGCCTAAATCCGTTTGGCCCTAGGCTTTTTTTTGTTAAATGTTTCATTACTGCTTCTATTTCACTAGGGGCTTGGAGCCTATTTAAATTATTTATCTCATCTAGATTTAACATTGGTAAATTATACATGTATCAAAAAATGCGTACTTTCTTAGCTTTTTCAGTTTTCTGAAATACAGATTTTTAAAGAATATCCACTGTCGTCTGTTGTACTGACTCCTTTTTCATCTTTAATTTTATTCATTTGAATCTTCCCTCAATGTCTCTTGGTTAATTTGGGTAAGGTGACAAACCAGCTTCACTTTAAGATTAGAAGCTGAAAGCAATGTGAGGTGTCCAATCAGGACAGCCGGGGGGCGGGGCGGAAGTTCCTCACCCACCATCCCTTTTCCCTGCGCCGGGATGGTCGCAGGATTGCGTGGTCCCGGCCGCTGAGGCAGCGGGGGTTGCTCAGCCTGTGTAGCTGTGGGCCCGACAACCTCAGGAGCGACGGTGAAGGCCGTGGGGCGGACCGCGAGCTGTCGGGACAGGCGCACCGGCGGGCGGGGCGGAAGTCCCTCGCCCGCCATCCTTCTTTCTGGTGCCTCCAGAGTCGCAGATATGTACTGACAGGAGAGGGGGTCGGGATGGTTCGGCCTCCGTCGCCATGTGACACCTAGTGGCAGGGACAGTTTTGAGGGTCCCAGGGGAGCGCGGGTGCAGACGTAGTGTCCTGGGAGTGCATTCGGCGGCCCAGGCTGGAGCGCCAGCGAGCCGAGCGGAAGTCCCTCTCCCGCCATCTCTCGGCCCGCACCGCCACGGTCGCAGTGCTGTCACGTCATCCGTGGGAGCCCAGGGTGACTGAGCCTCGGTGGCTGTGTGACCGGCGAGGCCCCGAGCGCAGACATGGTGAGCTCCGAGCGGGCGAGGCGGGCGGGGAGAGCGGGCAGGATGGCGCGGGGGGAGGGGGGTTGCGGCTCGGTCCCTCTGCTTCCGGGGTGACGGGACCCCGGCGGCCTCCCGACTGCGCAGCGGCGAAGAGCCGAGGGGCCCCAGCTCCGGGGGAGGGGATCCGCGGGTGCCCAGGGCCCTGGGAGTCTCTGAAGGTCTCTAGAAGCAACGTCTAAAACTCCGTGAGTTTGTCCCCCATCCAGCTGCTTCTTAGTCCTAAACGTCCCTGCGTTGCTTGGTATTTACTGTTTGGCCAACTCGTTAAAAGTGGGTATCCACGTACACACGTAGGTGAGGCCGGAGGGGAGGAGGCATTTGAGGCCCTCCATGAAGTCATGAATGTTTTTGTCTTAGAGCTGCTTGTGGACATTGATTTTAAAGCAGAATGAAAGGCGAGGAGGTGGGACATGACTTTTACTTCAAGCGAGCATTGGCAATAGCGGGGGGGGGGGGGGGGGGAGCCTCAGGTACAGTATGTGCAAGCATCTCCAGGGCTGGGCAGAAAAGGCGTTTGGTTTTTAGCTACGGACGGCGATCTTTGAAAAGATGGGACTGTAGCAACTTCAGCTCTGAAAGTTTCCTCTCAGGTCAGATAAGTTGATGATAAGTTAAAGGGTCCTGTTCTGACCCAGGATGGGGGGTGAATAAAAAAGAAAAGTGACAAGATTGGAGAAAAACTTAAGGAGACTTCACTTAAGTATTTTTTTATTAATGATGAAGTCGTTGTTTTGAGGCAAAAATGGGTCTCTGGCTAGTTTGTATTCCGCTGAGTAATAGCTTAAAAAATGGATAGATATTTTAAATGTCATCATCTAAGAACAGAGAGGAAAGGCTCCTCAAGAAGAGAGAAGGCATTGTGAGATGGAAGGCCTATAGTCAGTGCTGTTTACCAAAAGGGAAGTTGAAGGAAAGAAAATAATGTATGTGGAGATGGCTAAATGAAATTTCTTGGCCACTCAGAGTTCCTCTACTCAATTCCTGGAGTCATATATATCATGAGCTGTGACTGTGTGGTGAGATGGTCTCAAAGCTCAGGGACAGGTTTAACCTGAATTTGGGTTCCTTTGTGAACTGTAAGTGCTTCCTGGTTTTTTTTTTTTTTTTTTTTTTGTTATGTATACAGTGTTCTGCCTACATGCATGCTTACAGGCCAGCAGAGGGCACCAGATCTCATTATGAATGGTTGTCAGCCACAGGTTGCTGGGAATTGAAAACTCAGGACCTCTGGAAGAACAGCCAGTGCTCTTAACTGCTGACCCATCTCTCCAGCCCCGCTTCTTGATTTTTTTAAGCAGCAAGTTTATAGCACTTGAAGCTATAAACTTCCTTTGCAGACTATTTTGTTTTGTTGTTTTGTTTTTTATATGTCCCAAAGGTTTTTGTTTTCATTATTATTTAGTTCCAGAATTTTGATTTCTTTTTGATTTCCTCTTTAGACCATTCATCATTCAATAATGAGTTGTTCAGTCTCTGAGTTTGTGTACTTACTAAAAATTTGTTCACTGTTGATTTTAAGTTTTATTGCATATTGGTCAGATAGGATACATGGAGTTATTTCAGTCTTTCACAATTTGTTAAGTGTTTTTTTTTTTTTTTTTTGTGACCCAGGATATGGTTTATTTTTGAGAAGCTTCCATGGGCTGCTGAGTAGAACATATATTCTTTGATATTTGGGAGGAATATTCTATAGATATGTTACATTCCTTTGATGTATGACTCTAACACTTAATTCTGATATTTTTCTATTTCTTGTCCAAATAACCTGTCTATTGGAGACAGTGGGGTATTAAAATCACCCCATAGTATTGGATTAGTGTTAATCTGTCTTTAATTCCAATAGTATGATTTTTTGGATATATTTATTATATATGTATGGATGTCTTGCCTACATGTTTATGTATGCACCACATGCATGTCTGATGCCTGTGGAGGTCAGAAGAGGGCATTCCCTGAAACTGTAGGTACCTTGCAACTGAAGTTATGGATGATTGTGAGCCACCATGTGGGTTCTGAGAACCAGCCTTTGGTATGCTTTTTATAAAATGAGGTGCATCAGAACCTTTGCATATGTTTAGGATTGTAATGTCATTTTGGTTCATTGTTCCCTGTTAATCACTATTTGTGCTCTTCACAAGCCTGCATCTTTCTTCACCAGACTGTAGTTTTCTCTTTCACCTAACCCCTACAAAGAGGATCATCTCCTCCCACAAGTCAAAGGTTGGAGAATTCTGCTTCTCCTGCTTTGTTTTTCTCCCTAATCTCCTAAGTCCACCAAGTTTGCTTTTCTGGTCTATCACCCACAGCCACTCACTTTCATCTGTTGCCTTGTTTTCATCCTGTACAGAATCAAACTAGGGCTGACTATCCCTATCCTCCTCTCTTAAAGCCTAACCCAATATTCATAGGCTTTAATGTCTCCATCCATTTCTTACAGATTTAAGTTCAAAATTTGACTGTGATCTGAAAATATTGAAGTTGTTTTTTCCTATTTCAATGGATAGCTTTATATCTGCTAGTAGAAAGGGGAACTACAATGCATGTTTCCAAAAGTCAGTTTTTTCTTTTATTCTATATTAAAGAGATTTGTGATTTATGACATTGTTGTAAAATGCCTGCTATGTGATAAACCAACTTTTTGTTTTCATTTGGGCCAGTTAAATACTGTTATCTTTTTACGTGATCCATTTCTCTCACACAGGTGCATGCTTGCGAATACAATTGTGTTTAGAAGTCAAATGACAATCTCTGTTGTTCATTACTGCATATGCCAGGCTAGTTGGCCCACCAGCTTCCAGGGATTTCCTTGTCTCTACATACCATCTTGCCATAGGAGTTCCTAGACCTTTGATACTGAACTACAAGATTTGATCTATACTGCTGGATGTTGGGTTTTTTTTTTTTTTTGCTTTGATTTTATTTTAATTATGCCTTGATTCTTCCTGTTTCCAGGAAGAAAATATTTAACATATTTTTTATTTTTACAGGATTCCACAGTTAAAATTGTAAATATGCCTTACCATGTCTGGCTTTACTTGAGTTCTAGGGAGTTCAAACTCAGGCTTGCATGGCAAGTGCTTTATATATTGAGCCATCACCTAGACCCTTCCACTATCTATTCTTTGTTTTTTTTTTTTTAATTCTTCTTTCATACACTATATCCCTATCACAGTTTCCCCTCCCTCCACTCCTCCCAGGCCTTCCACCTCCCCTCTCCCTCAGATCCATTCCTCCTCCATTTCTCTTCAAAAAAAGAGTAGGCCTCCCTGGGGTATCAGTATAACACAGCATAACAAGATACAATTAGACGAGGCACAAACCCTCATATCAAGGCTGGGTGAGGCAACCAGTAGGAGAAAAGGAATCCTAAGAGCAGGCAAAAGAGTCAGAGATACACCTGCTCCCACTGTTAGGAGTCCCACAAAAACACCAAGCTAACAACTTTAACATGTATATGGAGGACCTAGCACAACCCATGCATGCTCTGTGATTGCCTTTTAAGTCTCTGTGAGCCCCTATGAGATCTGCTTAGTTGATTCTGTGGGTCATGATCTTGACCCCTCTGGCTCCTAAAGTCTTTCCTCCTCCTCTTCCATGGGGTTACCCAATTTCCACCTAATGTTTGGCTGTAGGTCTCTGCATCTGTTCCCATCAGCTGCTGGAGAAGGCCTGATGATGATTGGGCTAGGCACCAATGATCTATTCTTAATCAGTCTGTTAATGTTATCTTGAATAGTGGGGTATGTTAATTAGCTTTGCATCCCTATACAATATACCTGGGAAAAGCAACTGAAGGTTTTTGTGATGATTAGTCTTCTTATTAAGTTGGTAATTTGGAGTCACCTAGACGACACACCTCTGAGTATGTCTGTGAGAGTGTTTGCAGAAAGGTAACTGAGGAGGTAATACCCACTGTGAATCTGTGTGGTACCTATCTTATTTTCTTTTTGTGTTGTTATGATAAAGTGCCCTAGTGAATGCAGTTTAAGAAAGGAAGGCCGGGCAGTGGTGGCACACGCCTTTAATCCCAGCACTCGGGAGGCAGAGGCTGGTGGATCTCTGTGAGTTCGAGGCCAGCCTGGGCTACCAAGTGAGTTCCAGGAAAAGGCGCAAAGCTACACAGAGAAACCCTGTCTCGAAAAACCAAAAAAAAAAAAAGAAAGGAAGGGTTTAATTCATAGTTCAAGATATAGTTCATCCTGATGGGGAAGTCAAGGGAGCAGGAACTTGAAGCAGCTGGTCATATTACATCTAAAGGCAGAAGAAGAAAGTAATGAATGCATGCTAGTGTTCAGCTCACTTTCTCCATTTTATACAGTCCAGAATCCCATGTCTAGGGGATGGTCTCACCCACAATTAAAATGGATTATCTCAAATCAGTTAGCATAATCAAGATAAATCCCTATGGGTGTACCCAGATGCCCATCTGCCAGTTTATTCATTACTAACCATTACACATAACCATAGTCTGAGATGCCAAGCTGAATAAAAGAGGAAAAAGGAAGAATTCAAGTAGAAACCAGCATTCCCTGCTCTGTTTCCTGATCTTCACTGATGTGGAATCCCTACTGCATGATCCTATCCCCATGAATTCTGCCATGTCTGCCCCCCGCCATGATAGACTTTACCCTCTCAAGACATAATTCCAAATAAATCTTTCCTTTCACGAATTGCTTTTAGTCACAGTGATGAGAAAAGTAACTTATACAGGTTGAAAGGTTTATTTTATGTCAAGGTTCAGATGATGCAATCTTGTCACTTAGTTCCATTGCTTGGGGTCTACAATGAGGCAGAACATTATGGCCATGGGAACTAGTATTGGATGAGGAAACTCACCCTCATAATCTATTCT